AAAACAGGAGTTTTACCAGTGGAGGGAGAAAGTAGAACAAAGCCCAAAAAGGAGTCTACAGAGACGCAAATAACTCTTTGGAGTCACTCAGGACATTAGTACCTGAGACTACTGGGAGTGGAGAAAACACTTGTGCTCAACACAGATATTTTCCTTTATCCAAAACAAAAGTGTGGGTTTTATGAAAGCACACTGAACAAATTCCATATTCTAAATCACGAGCGAGTGGATGGTGAAATCACCACCATTTGTCTAAAAAATGCTCAAGTTGGTTCTCAGCCAAACAACGCAAAGCATGAGAAAGAGTTTCACCTTGAGCTTAGAAAAGAGACATTTATTTGGGGACAAAGGAAAATAGAGAGAAAACAAATATTGAATGAGCATGTGAAAAACTATGTTCGAGATACCTAAGGGTTCTGATGAACTTTTACAGGAAACTCATTGACATTGTAGGCTCTCCTTCTGACACCTTTTTTAAAAAAAAGGTCATGAAATTAACATGGCAGGTCAGTTCATTAAAATCTCAGCGATAGTAATGGCTGCTTTCCCTCACTGAGAGTGACTATGCCGTGCGGCATGCTAGCTTTACACGTTACCCCATTTAATCCTTATGACCATCCGTCATCACAAGCATTACTATCCTCATGTTATAGGGGAACAAATAGGATCTGGAGACATCAAAACACTTGTCCAAAGTTATCCTGCTGACAAGGAACGGGGCTGGGCCTTAACCCAGTCTACATGATTACAAAGATAATATCTAAAGTAGGCAACTATGGAAAAACAACTCACTAAACGTTGAAGGAATCTCACTTTCTCTGCAACTCCAAATTATTAGAAAAAGAAGTAGCTTTAATTCTAACATATGAGAAGTTTGGATGATTATGATTACACCCCTGGCAATTTCTTAACATTTACAAGTTTTGTGTTTACTCCTTATAGAATTAGAAGGCTGGCAAAAATCACTCAGGAAACTGCTTAGATAGAAAGTATTTCTGATGCAGGTAACTGTTACTTTACTAAATTCCATTGTTACAAAGCCACTGGACACATGGAACATTTTTACTGCTACTTATGAGTATTTAGCCTAAGTGCTTACA